GTGGTTGATAACGTTACTCTTGATCATCTGTCCATCATCGTATAAAGCCCGCCCTGACAATTTGATTGGATCGCCTGACAGTGGGCTTTAATACTCGCGCTACTATGGAGCAGAGCCAGACCGAACTTCCCCGAACTCAAACCTTGTGGGCGGGACTAAGTTCGGACTGGCACCGAGGCTACTCAATAACTGCATCGATCAACAGCCTGAACTTTGATGCACTTTTTTAAAGCTTTAATCAAAATTAGGTTAGGGGCCATGTGCATTTTCTTAGTTCACCATTTTAAGTTAGAAAAATGTATATTCCCTGCATTAAAAAGACTTCAGACTTTTAATAAAAGAAAAAAAAAGTTATTGTGGGAAAACAAGAAAACACATTCATCCAGACAAACCTGATCAGAGGATCTCTAAACTAAACCACAATATTTGAAGGTTTGACTCTACACTGCAAAAACGACCTAGAAACAAGTAAAAATTTCTTAAATCAAGTGTATTTAACCTAAATCTGACAGGTAAATAAGATTATTTATGTACTCTTAAAATAAGATAATTAGTTAATATGTGCTTCTAATGAAACTATACAGTTGCTTTTTTCTTATTTTAAATGTGAATTGTCTTGTTCCATCGGCAAAGTGTCTCATTTAGCTCTTCAATTTAAGACAAAATGCACTTATTTTAAGAACAAAAATGACTTACTTAGATTTTGTTTATTTGCAGTGTACTACACTGGAAAAACGATCTAGAAATAAGTAAACATTCCCTTAATTAAGTTTATTTACACATAATTTCAAAAGGTAAATTGGTTTGCCAATTAAATGAGTATTTTGACTCTTAAAATAATATATTTAGATAATAAGCACTTCAAATAAGACAATGTAATTGTGTTTTCTTATTTTACATGTAAATTGTCTTGTTTCATTGGCAAAGTGTCTCTTTTACCTCCTCAATTCAAGACAAAATGCACTTATTTTAAGAAAAAAGTTACTTATTTAGGTTTGGTTATGAATTGGTACAGCATATTTTTTACTGCCCTTTTTATTCAAATAAACAATTACAAAGCAAGATAAATTAACCAATAAACAATTCCTATTTCAAAAAATGTTTACATAAAAAATAAATTAATTGCTTTACTGACTTCGAGGCTTTCAAATAAAGCCACAATATATGACATTTTAATAAAACTCCCTTTATAAAGGATGCACACAAACTTTAAGGGCAAACAGAAAATAAAAAGTCACTCTGCAAACCTTGTGACCAACAATGTGGGACCAGATGTCAGCTAAACCAAAGCAATAAACAAGCTTTGCATCTGTCCTCTGTCATAAAAATAATATCACATCTGACGGATAAATATGCCTCTTTGTACACAACAAATGTTACTGAAATTGTTTCCTTCAACGGTATATGGAGTTCATATGGTTTATAAGTGGAAACAAGTATTAACAAACATATGCAGCAGCTGAAAGAGAAAATAGTCGGTTCGCCTGAGGCTAACAACACTTGTCAAAATAAGCCAACTCGCCTGACTAGCGTCATCCTGAATTACGAAGCATTTCTTAATGACTTTACAGGAGCGGAAAATGTAGTTTTATGACGCAGCTTTGCAAAACGGTTAATAAATAACGTGTTTCTAAATAATCCCTCCGACAAAGCTGGTAAAAAAAATAAGCCATCATGCTCACCTTCAGCTAGCGAGCTACAATGAATAGCTTGGGTAGCCAACTGACAGACAGACAGACTGACATACGTAGTAAATGGGACTTACCTTCAGGCTTAAAACGAGATGTTATTCCCTTTGGTTTGTTTTTTTAATTTGACGTGCGAATGAAGCTAAGTTCCTGTTCCGCTCATGCCTGGTTATCACGGCATGCCGACCTTTTCTGTTAGCCTGTTTGAACTCAAAGCTTTACCGCAACGACAGTTATGTTTCAGGACGACCGCTCGGGGGCGCTGTTTCCCCGCAACAGAACAGCACACATGGGATTTCTGTCCAGAACAAAAACCAAACTAATGTTTAGAGTAGTATTTAGTACATTTATATGGAAGGAAGGGGAGTAGGGCCGTTAAAAAAAAAGAATTGTGAGATAAAAGTCAGAATTCTGAGATTAAAGTCAGAATTCTGACTTTTTTCCCATATTAAACTGAAATAATATTTAATAATCAATTAACTTTTTTTTTCAATGGCCCTAATCCCCTTCCTTCCGTATAAATGTACTAAATACTACTCTAAACATTAGTTTAGAGTTTTTAATCTCAGAATTCTGATTTTAATATTAGAATTCTGACTTCTTTTTTAGAATACTGAATCAAGTCTCATAATTCTAAGAAAAAGGTCAGAATTCTGAATG